CGCTTCGTGTTAGTTAGAGATCGCGCTGTTTCAAACGTCCCCGAGAGCAGTGCTGCAGCGCTGCCTCGTGTTCCAAAGCTCAGGGACGCTGTGACACGTGTGACGGGGAAAATACACGCGGCAGACGAGCTCGGCTCCGCGATGGACCGTAGCGCTGTGGCCGTGAGCTCAGAGTCGGGGAATGAACAGGACGGAACCCCCGGAACGAGGGGAGGAAGCTGCTCCCCCGACACCTGAGGCCAGTGTGGACAGTGGGAGAATCCGCCGTGTGTGATGGGCTGCGGCAAGGATGGAAAAGCAGCCACATTTGCGGACTCATGAGACGACGAAGGATTTTGTAGAAAGCACAGCGGACGGCACCGCTGTGGGGTGAAAGCAAAAAATATTTCCAGTGATGTTACTCAGGGCCAGGAAAATGAAGGCCTTCCTGGGTGGTGTTTATTACAAATAAATGCTCCATAGAACAATTCTTTAAAGAAATATCTACTACATAAAAAGGCTTTAAACAGAAACTCATGCATAAAGTAAAGTTAATGAAGATACTGTGAGCAGAGGCTCCCAGGACCTACCCTGCGTTTCCCCTTCCAGCGGCGACTCAGGGTTCGCGCATCCGGCACTCAGCGCAGCTCTGTGTGACACCACGCGGCTCCCGTGAATGACCAGGGTCTCCCGCAGACAGACTTACAGAACACACACATGCTTCAGACTGAAATATATAACACTGATATATGTTATATAACACATGCGTTTTGACTTGCGTCAAGATTTGCCACTTCCCACTGCCAGCCCCTGGTTGAAGTTCTGCCCTCTGGGGTCACACAGACGTTGCCCGCTTTGTTAGGAGCTTCTGGGGCCACTGCCGGGGGCCACACGGGTCCATATGCTGCCCTCACCCTCAGACAGGCAGAGCGGGCATGGGGGCGTTGCCTCAGGAGGGGGAGGCTCAGATGCTGCCCTGCTCTCTTCCCCAGAGTCACCCCTTCGTGCCCACGGTGGTGGATGGCGTGCTGCTGCCCAAAACCCCCGAAGAGATTCTGGCCGAGAAGAGTTTCAACACCGTCCCCTACATCGTCGGCATGAACAAGCAAGAGTTTGGCTGGATCATCCCAACGGTGAGCACGTGCAGCCTCTTAGACTCTCCGCTCTCCCCATCAGCCCTCCCACTTCTGGTCACAGACGTCTGTCCTTCTCCAAGGCCTGATCTGAGTCCAGGGCATCTGTCCCCTCCCTCACAAGTTGTCATTTCCATGGAAACCTTCTCTGGGATGGCCCAGCTGTGACCATGGTGGCACGGCCCTGGAAACCCCTCTCCCCAATACCCTTTGATCATCTTGCAATGAAAGAATCCTGTGGTGTCCGTGCCGGGAGGGCTTGTGGAGGTAACGGTTGTGCAGATGGAAACGGAGGAGCCTGGAACTGGGAGGGAGCTCGGGAGTTGAGGCGAGTCAGGCCTGGGCAGCGGCTTCTCACCTTGGGCCTGGTGCGCAGTTTCCCATGAATCTCCACACACGCTCTCAGTCGTCTCTCTGGAGAGATTCAGAGCGAGTTGGTTCTCTTTGAGTTAAGATTGAATCTAAAGGTACAGAAAGACTTTCCTTCTCGTCCAACATAGACAAAGCCAACCCCAGTTAGAGCCGTAGAACAGATTTTATTCAGTAACACGATTGCAGTAGGGAGTTGTCCAGTGTGGGCGGGCCCCGAATTCCTGAAACAAAGGCTGGGGCTGTCCTAAAGCCTGGCTGTGCTGAGGGAAAGCCCTGTGGGGTGCGGAGTTGGGGTGGTTAGTCCGTGAGGCTCGACCACCTGGATGTGTGAGTCCCCTCATCTGGAGGAGAAGCAGGAGGCCGTGGTGTAGACTGAAGTGAGGCCCTCGCGGAAGTGAGGCTGGAATCTTTGCACAGGACTGGGAGGGAGACCCAGGGTTGCCTCCCTGAAGGTTTGCACTTAATAGAGAGGCCTCTCAGGCCCTGGAGGAAGCAGTCTGGGTGGTAGATGTGCATCCCAAGGGCAGAGAAAGGCCTTGTACTTGCAGGCTGTCTAAAGTGACTGCTCTGGGAGTGGCTGAGGGGCCTCTGCCTGTCACCAGGTTTTGGCTGCAGCAGAGAGTAAGTTCTCCTGGCAGGTGGAGCTTTCTCAGGCAGGCGTTGTAAGGGGGCCGGGGCCGCTGTGGGGGCCATTGACCTTAAGCTGCTAAGAGACCTGCTAGGGCTTGAGGAAGTCTCTGGGTGCAGAGGTTTGGACAGAGTCGTTATGTGCTGAGAGTTCTGCAGTTCTGCCTTCAGAAGGATATCAGAGGTTATGCCTAAGACCAAAGCCATGATGGCAGGATTCGGGACTTCCTATGTCATC